CAGATATTTAAAAAGAAATTTGAAAAGAAACACAGAGTCGCATGGAGGGATACACGTCAGAAACCTGTCCGAAGCACAAACCAACGGGAGCTGCAAGGCCTCTTCCTCCACAGCAAGTTTATTCTGCACGAGCTCACGTTGGAGCAGACATAACATGCACAATAACCAACACCAGCACCCACGCGCACAAATATGTGTTAAAGTAAAAGTACAATTAAGTGTTGATGGCAGAGACTGATTTGGGAGTATTGTCATTATAATTAACAGCGTCATTTTACTGACGGATGAAAATATTCTATGAGCAGATGGTTTGCTCTCACTTGCTTGGCCTCAGGTCTTTGAATGAGCGGGAGTCAACAAAACGTATTTCTCATAACCTCTATTGCTGACAGTCACAGAGTGCGTGTTGCCTTTGGCTGCTCTCCTCCTCTCCGGGGGTCTCTGCTCTGCGGGCCTTTGTTTTTCTGTGCTGAGGAGCGAGATCCAGAGCTGCTTACAGATAATATCGTCAATATAGCCAGAAACGGAAATGTATCCTAATTTAACAGGTTAAATGACTGTCACTCAGACTCCGGTGTTCTAACAAGTGTAAAACAAATGTAATGTGGACAGATTGACATTCTTCATGGGCCGTACTTATTTTTCTACATATACTGTATGAAACAAAGGAATAATGCAAATAATGGGTCCTCTGAGGCTCGAGAGGTAAAAAGAACACATGCCTGTGTGTTCAGGCGGTTGATGCTTTTAATGAGTTTGTTTAAGACGTGAAGGAAAAAACGGGTTGTCCGCATATGCTGGACCTCTCCAGAGAAACCGTTCAGTAGAACATTGACTGACTGATTGAAAAATAATAATTCTAAGGTTGTCACCTTGATGTAGTTCATCATCTGCAGGTTGAAGTGGTCTTTGGAGCTCTCCAGGATCAGGGTGCAGCCCATGTTGGACGTGGTGTTGTGGAGGTCAAAGACGACATCGTAGGCCTCCGGGCTTCCTTTGGGCCCAAATATCCTGTTGATCTCCTGAGCTCGCTGCACCTCGTAGGGCAGCTCGTCTCCTGCCGGGGCGCTGCGAGGCACAGACACACACGCACACACCCACCCACACGTCAGAAATTCACATTACAGCTTATCAGACCATTCTCCAGAAGGGGACAATGAGTTAATTATTCACACATGGTTATATGCTTGTCCTACGTGTTCTGGAACCCTTTCACTAAAAATACCTACTGAGTACATTTTACTGAAAGTATATCACACCGACTTCTGGGTCAGGCGTATGGTGTGGATTTCATTTTACTGAATGCAAATAAAAGCAAAACTGATGCACTGGTGGTGACTGAATGATTCCACCTAATCTTTAATGCATGAAAGCCCGTCTGTCTGCCATTCATTTATGTGCTGGTTTATGTGAACTGGATTCAGCAGGGAACCACCCACCCTTTTGTGAGCATTATGATGTCATTCAAGCCACTTTCTCCAGTCCTTGCATCACTGCTCTTGAGGACCACTGAAAGGTTTGTTTTGTCAGCCCGGATCAAGTTGCCCCCCCCCCCTCTGTCCTTCAAACAGACATTCTACGCACTCTGAGCAGAGAATGCGAGCTTCCCCCTTTCCCTCCCTCTCTTGGCTCTTTATTTCAACACGTTTCAGAATACACCCTGGTCCAGGACCTTCTCCAAACTACTGTAGAACAGCACCTCTGCTGCGCATATTGTCTCGCCTCTCTCACATCTGCTCTTTAGACCACCGTTTTCAGAGAACATCTGGCATTGTCTGGACTGCCAGCGCTTTGGCACCGCAACCACAGTGTGTCAAATACAACATGCGCTATGACCGAGAGGACACGGTGCATTCAGTCTGTTTACGTTGAAGAAAAGCACACCATGAGCTGTTTTTAGAAAGAGCCTCCATGTGCTTAATCTTCTTACATGTGTCGTTCAGCGTTTGGGAGAGCTCTAAAGATCATTTTAAATTGACGGACAGTTAATCCAGTCAGTGATGCAAAGGTTTACCATATTTTCAATTAAAAAATAAATACTACTACAGAGATAGTTAAGATATACTATGGGGTAAATTATGAATCAGAATTTTAAAAAGTCATGTTGGGGACGAGGGCTGCGCACCACAGTCACCTTGGGGTTCTTGTGACCGGACGTTGATTTGTGAGTAGTGGGACCCGATGATGTAATCTCCCCCCCCCCCCCTCCCGCTGGGTCTATTTTCGCAAGACTTCATCTTCCGCAACAACGCACACGCATAAAAAGAAAATCTCCTTAATTCATCTGCAGCTCGGTCACGTTGCGCTCACGTTTTCTCCTACAGGTTGACGGTCAGCTCGCGTCCCCGGGAGGGAGGAGGGGGAGGAGGGAGGGAGGGGGCACACGCTGCTCTGCTCTTATTGGCAATGGTGGGAGGGGGAGCACGGCCAATGGTAAACACACGCACAACCTGAGATAACAACATTTTGATGGGCATGTCCACGTGACCGCAATACTGTAGGATTTCCTATCAGGAAAACGGTGTAAATGCTGTAACGTAGTGCATCGTTCGTCCGTGCTGTATTCTGTATTCTCCCACCGTGTCACACAGACGTCCTCTAAGCAGGAGATAATATTATGTTCGCCCTATAGTTGATCTGGTCGCATACACACAAGCACACGCACACACACACACACAAACACGGTTTGGCATGTCAATTATGTTGCGTAATGGCGCAGTCACAACACATTTCCATAGAAAAGGTCACCGCTGATTTAGATCGATTTGAGTCATTTCATTCGCAGCCACAACGCGCGCAGGACCATCCAGATGTCACATGCATGTGTCTTAAAAAGGTATTTTAACCAAATTGATCTCATACTCCTGTCAGTAAAATTCAAGTCGTGAAACGTAAACGTGTTTTGTGGATCCGCGCCAGGAGAAAGTTCCCGTTCAACACGTATGACAGCAGACCCGTGGTGCACCGTGGGTACCCGAGGTCCCCGGAGGTGCGCCATGGGTACCTGAGGCCCCCGGGGTGCGCCATGGATGAGCCGTGTGTACCTGACGTTCCCCGCGGTGTGCCGTGTGTACCTGAGGTTCTCCGGGGTGAAGGCTCGGTTCAGGTCGGTGTCCACGTATCGGCTGCACTTCTCCACGGCCTTCGGGTTGGTGATGAACGGCTTGGTCTCGACCCGCTTCCTCTGTATCTCGGCGCTGTTCTTCACCCACAGGTTAACCAGCGTCACGCCGGACATCTCGTTCCCGTGCGTTCCCCCGAAAATTGCCACCCTGCTCGCCTCCGCGACGCGCACGCTGCTGCCGTAAGAGGACATGGCCTGCTTCCTAAACTGCGCAGGATCCGGATGGAGACACGCAGACTTTTTCAGAGGAGAAAGTTTCCAGGCGAAGCCTCGCTGCCTCGCTGTTTAAATGCCGGCCGCGGCCGCGCGCTTACGTAACGTGCCCGCGGGCTTGTTGGGAACAGTCGGCGCGCGTGAGCTGCGCGAGTTTGCGCGCGTCATCTCCAGAGGCACGCAAACCTCCAGTTACCAAGGTTCCTCCCGTTGTTTACCTCTTTTTTTGACCCGCCAAACTCACGGAAGAACTAACTATTCGTTTCCGGTGAATTCTCTCCGAAATCCAAAATCGTATTCAAAACACTACTAGGGCCCTTTGTCAGTGTGCGTTCTTCTGTTTTCGTGGACTTGTGAACAAACGTCCGGTTCAAATGCCCGGATGTGACTCGCCCCGCCAATTCTGATGTATAAGCAATGCTTAAACATCCTTGATATATTCCAATAAGTCACAAAGTACAAAAAAAGAAAAATAAACCACATGCATATCAAAACTCATTTCCTTTGCACTTGTAACCCTAAAAAAAGCTTAATAAACAGTCCTTTAAAAAAAACGTACACATTCTTACATTTGCTGTAGCGTTGTTACATAATTAGAACTACAATGGAAATCATCTTTTAATCCCTTTTGTAGCTTTTTGTACGGGGAACTTAAAAACATCTTAAACCATATTCACCACTCATGTATAGAAGAAACACTTTGTACGGCGTCTGGCAGTGACTTTGATTTTAACATTGTTTGCACTATTTTGTAGTTTATCAAGTCGTTAAATTTTATGACATGAGATTTGACAAACAATGTGTTTGTGTGCTCATAAAAAACAGCCTTATGATAGATAATATGCAAGGTCTTTGCTTAGTAAATTTATTACACAGTATTGCTATTGACTTTGACATTTCACCATTCAGATAGTCAATATGTTGTCCATGTTACTTTATGATCGATCACTACTCCGAGGAATTTGGTCTAAAAAAAATGTTTAATTCAACATCCCAGTATAAATGTTGTTCTCCTAAGATAATTAACATCAAACAAAATTGTCCCGCTATCGTTGTATTGTGCATGTATCGTTTCCCCTCTCGGCCACCGCACGCTCGTCACTACGCACCCCAGACACGTAAACACACGTGACAGGTGGAGGCTTTTGATAAAAACCTCTTTTGTCTTGATCGGTTGCATGTTTTCATACAAAAGGAGCTTTACACACTTTTAAGAACTGAATATTTGGTGACTGTACATATATATGTATATTTTAAGAAAACACACATACAACAAAATGTCCCTTAAAGATGAACCACTTCCATGAAAAAACAAAAGCAGTGGCTATTTCCTATAAATCCCTTTTTTTTTTATAGCTCTAACCTACACCAATAGCCACCTAGAAAATAATATCATTTCCAATAAAAAGTCATACGTGTGGAAACGGCTGCTACAGAGGAAATATTATTTCCAATACACACAGAAAGTCACATTTGTGTGAGTTTATGGCGGGGCAAAATACAAGAACGTTTTAAGGAAAAGACACAACTTCCCCATCAGACAGGGAGCCAAACCCCCATCGAGTGGCAGGCTGTGTACAGATATGTCATCCCGACTGGTTGACAATGCGGTGGCTGTATATTAACGAACATTAAAAGAACATACTCAAAATAAAAACACAGATTGAAGGTGTTTCAGTGTTTCTATTCATTTAATGTAGTTTTAATAAACAACATTTCTTCCTCAAGTGTTAAAAATGACATTTATCTAAAAGAAGAAAATCATTAAGTTGGGATGAACCCAAAGAAAACCCCTCATGATAACCAACCATGAACATTATGTATGTTGATGAAATTCCTATTTTAAGAAATGTTTTCCCTGGTACCCCGTCCATCTAAAAAGATACAGGGTGTCCTGTAAAGTGCTGCTTCAGTTGTCAGTTGCTTTATCTTGGGTGTTGAGGTAATTGTGGAGAATCCCTCCACCAATCAAACAAATTACTGTTCCTTCAATCGGCGCCTTTAAATTAATAGCCGGTGAAGAACTCGTCATTTGGATTAAAAAGTTTCCGCTTGGGCTTTCCATGCTTGTTTTTCATAATGTCTGAAGTTTCTGCAACTGTAGACTTCTCATTTCTTTCCTGCCTCTTTTTCTTTTCTCTGCGCTCTGACTCAGCCGACTCGCCCCCACCATTTTTAATTTTCTTCTTTTTCTTGTTTCTCGTGTCCAACGCCTGATTCCCGGGTGTCTCCAAAGATGCTAAATCACGTTCGTCTGAGGTCGGCGCTTCCGTGGTCGCTTCGTCATGGGTCGGCGGATCCTGTTCTATAACATCACACCTTCTCTTCTTCTTTTTCAGCCCAGAGGCCTCGTCAAGGGGAGGAAACCCCGCGTCAGGTGCACCGTCTAATCCTTCGCTTTCACTTCCCACACGTTTCTTTTTCCTCTTCCGATGTGTTTTGCCTGGTTCCTGTCTGTTCTGCTCGTGATCTTCTTCCACGCTGTCCTGCACCACAGACATCTTCCTCTTCTTCTTCTTCTTCTGTTCTGTGACCCCATTGAGAAGTTCCTCCTGATCGCTGGCCATGACCTCCAGTTCTTCTGGGCCCCCGACACGGCGCGCCGAGGCAGCGCCTAGTTCCCTGTCTGTCGGCACCTTGTTTTCCTCTACATCAGCAACGGGGAAGGATGACTTCTTCTTCTTTTCCTTTTTCCGTGTAGATGCTGAATAATCACTTTGTGCCTGTGTGTCTTCATATTTATCCCTGCTAACTCCTTCACTCTTTTTCTTCTTCTTCTTCTTCTGTTCTGTGACCCCATTGAGAAGTTCCTCCTGATCGCTGGCCATGACCTCCAGTTCTTCTGGGCCCCCGACACGGGGCGCCGAGGCAGCACCTAGTTCCCTGTCTGTCGGCACCTTGTTTTCCTCTACATCAGCAACGGGGAAGGATGACTGCTTCTTCTTCTTTTCCTTTTTCTGTGTAGATGCTGAATAATCACTTTGTGCCTGTGTGTCTTCATATTTATCCCTGCTTACTCCTTCACTCTTTTTCTTCTTCTTCTTCTTCTTCTTGGTGGAAAAAGAGTCATTCATTTCCTCAAAGATAGTTTTCTTCTTCTTTGGTGTCGCCCTGGAGTCTTTAGCCGTGGTAACAGGGTCATCCAGATAGCAGCTCACATCTACACCCTCTATTCCCTTGTCGGGAGCATCGTTAGAAAGTGACTGTTGCTTCTTTTTGTCCTTTTTCCTTTTTACAAAACTCAACCCTGATGTTTCTTGAGAGGTCGCAACAATATCTAAACAATTTTCTGATTTCCCCAACTGTTCCATTGATACCGCCAGCAAATCCAAAGACCTATTCAATGCCCCCTTTGCTTTATGTTCCTCTGTCACTACTATTCCCAAATCTTTTTTCCTTTTCTTCTTCTTCTTCTGTATGTTAACACCATCATTTGGTGATTCGGCAGCTGTGCTGGGCTGTAAATGCTCAACATCTGCACTACTTCTTTTCGTGCGTTTCTTCTTTCCATCATTCTCCACTCTCACTTCACTCTCCACGTTTCCATCCACTTCCTGTCCGTCTCCTTCCCGTCCCGTTACCGGCTCAGATGCTTCACTTCCCTTTTGTGTGGCATGTCTCAATCTTTTCTGAGACTTCAAAACGCCGGCATCATTCCCGTTGCACGTTTTTTGTCCCTCATTTGCTTTTTGCAGAAATGAAACGTTCCCGTCGCCTCGGGCGAGGCATCGCTTTGTTTTTCGTGTGTCAGTTGTGGCTAGAGAGTTTGCGTCCACTGTTGCCTGTTTTGCGGTCGTCCCTTTCTGGGCCAGAACTTTGCAGGAAAATTTTCCAATGTCTGAGCTGTTGGCATCTGAAGATACGGAGGGCATGATTTGTTTGTTATAACACGTCTCTGTTTGTGGGGGGTTTCCGGTGTTGGTGCCTTTCCCCCGGTGTTGTTTTTTCAACTGGTTGCACCAGTTCTGTTTGCTCCTTTTTGTGGATAATGCCACAAACTCTTTGATCCCCTGTACGGCGAAAGGCAGATTATAGCCCAGTTCACAAACAAAAAGTACAAGGATGTGCACGATTCTAACACCTTACCACCACTTTGATGTCTTCATCCTCTGATCTCTCTCCGTCTTCTCTGCAACAGAATTAAGAATTCAAATTTAAAAAGTGGCAGCCCTAAAATGTATTATATATTTATTTATTATATTCTTAATTTATTACAATAGAGAATTCTCAGCCTGACAGATAAGAGGCGTAACACAAGATGAATGCATTTACAAAGGATTTATATTTCATTCAAACTACTGTCAAACTGTTGCAGAGTTTCTCTATATCAGGACCTAATAAAGGAATATTAAAAATAGGTCTGTCTGTTGCTGGTTTATGAGCCACTAGAACATATATACGTGTAACTTCAATGAAGCATGATTATTCCTTGAAATGAACTTACTCTGACAATGGAGATATGTGCTCCCCGTCCACGTCAACCGTTGGTAAAGACGACTCCAGACCCGGTCCTCTTTCACCGCTCTGCCTCAGCTCTCCGAGGCATTTAAAGAAGCCTCCCATCATGTACATCTGAGAAATGGCATCGACTTTAGCGTCAAGCGACATTTATAAATCACTTTTACAGCGAACAAATATGTGTGGGAGAAATGGTCGTCCTCACATGAAGGTCCTTGTTTTGGTCAGGGAACGGAGATCTTCTCGGCCTCCTCTTCTGACTTTCAAGGAAAGGGAAATTGAATATTGGCAGGGAGCATTTCTTCCTTCTCCACGGTCCCTCGTCGGAAGAGGACGACAATGAACGGTCATCTCTTTCCTCCAGATCTGTGGGAAACGTGGGCTTTGCTCTTGTGTTGTCATGCCGCTGCCCTCCTGACCTCCCGGCCACAGGTAACGTTACATCCGCTTGGGTGAGGAACAGGCTGTTTCCCGACTCACTGAGGAGGCACAACGTTCAGCACAACATTTAGAAAACTGGAGCTTTTCTTTTGGGGCTGCTGCCTCATTGTGACACGTATAGTAACGTTACACGCTCACCTATCTTCGTCTGCAGGTGCTTCGGATACTTTATGCTGTCCGTCGTGTCCGACGGAGGACTGAAAATATCGAGATATTTTCTCCCTCTGGCCAAGCGGCAACGTTCCCGTGACATTGTGGCGTGACTGCGATGTGCGAACTCTGTCCATGGCTTCGGATTGAGTGGGACAGAGATGAAACGAGGAGGTCTTTGATGTTAAGCTACAGTAGCATGTAGCCTCCAACAATAAGACGCTCTTTGTATGTTAGTTAATCTGCGATTAAGTGTTGACTTTAGATCGATGCGGGTGGTTATTAACTGAACATCTCCCTAATGTCGCACATAAATGTCAAGTTGCACCACATCGGGCATCAAAGTAAAACCGAGGAGACCATCGTTGAACACACATGTGCGTGTATACAAACCAATCCGGAAGCCGGTGAAAGCATCCGACGTGACGAATAGTCAGCTGGCCAATGAGCAACGAGCTTGCAGGAAAAGGAAGTGTTCGCTCAAATATTAAGAGGTTTCCCTCCATCTACTTCCGTTTAGTCTATTTGTCTGTGATTTCCTCAGGAAATACGAGTCACCCTTATTGCTCCGTTTATTTACCATCAACAAGTGAGCGTGTTACCAGTTTTACCTCTAAGGGGCAAATTCCACTCTTACCGTTGTACCCATAGACACTGTTATACTGAAAAATGGGCTGTAAAAACGAAGACAAAATTGTGTGGGGTAGCAGACATCTTGCTGATATTTACTCTTTGGCGGTTCCTCAAACATTCGCTGTGTGCTTACTTCAGCAGTCCACCTTTCCTGCACCGCTGACGGTCTGCTGGTCCTCTTAAGGCAAAACAAAACAGTTATGGCAGATATCAGCAAAACTGAAAAGGTTCAGCTGTACGTGCCCGATTTAGACGAACTGCGTGGTGGTAAGTGCACAGGGCGCACGGCAAAGGATTGTTGATGAAACGGAATGTTAATAAGTACATACATAATACGAATAATACATACTTATTGCTGGTTGCAGTACTGCAAGCAGGACTAGAAGACAACTTTGCAGAAGTTGAGGTGAGTGTTGTTGACTGTCCCGATCTCACCAAAGAGCCCTTCCAGTTTCCTGTCCAAGGTAAGAGCTTTAAAAAAGCACAAGTACACAGCTTTCCCCCAGTGTGCAGTCACAGCTTCACTAATGTAATACATTAATAAACGATACACTCCGTGTACATCTGGGAGGCAGCATGCCCTACATTGTGTATTTAGTCCACTTGCGCACATTTTGATATTTGGTTTACCTTTACACTGGGGGGCCAGGAACTGTCAATTTGTTAATTTATTTGATTGTATATGAAAAATATATGATTGTATCTAGAATTGATGGTTACAAAAAGGCTTTTGTCTGGATTGTGAAATTGTTTAATAAGGATTTGTAACATGTTGTTCATCAAATCAAGTCACCTTTGTGCTCGTGCTTCAGGCTTGTGTGGAAAGCCTCGCATCACTGATGTGGGTGGTGTGCCGTACCTTGTCCCCTTGGTTCAAAAGCACAAGGTAGTTTTTTCATCACAAAAAAACAGTTTGGAATAATGATCAATGACCTGCAGCGGGATGGGAATATAAAATTGTGGCCTGTCATCCTCCCAGGAATACAACATGAACACCATTTCAAAGGAGCTGGAGCTGCCAGGAGGCTTCGTCCTCGGCGCGGCAGCTGCTCCCAGCAGAATTGTCGGCATGAATGCAGAGGTCAGTTTTGCAGCTCTCCAGTCTTTCTCCATGGAGTTATCTCCAAAATGACAATACATTGTTCAAGCGGTGGCCCAAAAATGATAACTAACGTCCTACTTCGGACAGCTTTGTTTTGTACTCGTAACCCTAACCCTAACCCTGAAACAGACTAAGTTTTGGTAGTTGTGGAAACTGAAAGCTACTCTGCAATAAAGCAACTGACTTGATTCTGGGTGGTGTCATTGGGTATATTAAAAGATGGAAAAATTGAATTGGGGAATCGGAGGGGAAAACCCCACTAAATACTCTCGTCTGCAGCTGGTGCCTCTGGTCCTAACAGAAGCGGAGGGCAGGCCTGCAGTTAACAGCAGCTACGTCTCCTCAATCAACCCGGCTGATGGCCAGTGTCTGCAAGAAAAATACAGCAACAAATTCTCGGACTGCAGCTTTGGACTGCTGGGAAATCTGTACGCCTGTGAGGGGAAGTCTGGGAAGGTAACGAGTCTAATCAAACAAGCTCTGCAACTTCTTGTCTCTGACACAGCGACCCGTGTTGCAACCCCCGGGGCTTCTTCGAAAAACGCTTTGTCATTTCTGAATAATAAACACCTCTGGTTGTACATGAACTTAAACTGAATGATCTGTAGGTTAGTAACTTGTGTGAACTTCAGCCCCATGAGGGGATAAACATTAACAAAAGGAAAGTGGCTGAGCTGTCGTGCCACCTCTTCTTCTCCAGGTCATTGAGGTGCGGGCCAAGAAGAGAACAGGAGGCCACAGTCTCGTGACGGCCCTGAGGAACTCTCTTAGAGATCGGTACCCCGATAAAAGCCTGGCTCTGGGGGGCACCTTTATCATCCAGAAAGGGAAAGCCAAAATCCACATCATGGTAAATATTGGATATTTAAACACAATACAGGATCGGTAGTTGCTGACAGCTCCACGTCACAAAATCCCATCTCATTGAATATCCTCACATCGTTAGCCGAGAGAGTTCTCTGCCTGCCCCCTCAACTCCGACGACGACGTCAACAGCTGGCTCAAGCACTTTGAGGTCAGCGCACCACTCATCTGCCAGTCAGTGCTAGTTTCCAGAGACCCCGTGAGTAAAACGAGCGCTCCTCTCGCTCTGGTGGCCGGGCATAAGATGAGCGCCGCTCCGTAAATTAGACCGCTTTGTAATGCGCAATTGTTCATGCATTTGCTGTTGCTGCAGGGTTTGGACCTGCGAGTGGAGCACACCCACTGCTTCAGCCACCACGGAGAAGGGGGCCACTACTACATAGACACCACACCCGACAGTGTGGAGTACCTGGGCTACTTCATGCCGGCCGAGTTTGTCTACCGCATCGACCGGCCCCAAGAAACCCACGCAGTTGGACGAGATTGACGAGTGAATAAAAATGTATAGTTTGCAGCACGTCGTCTCTCGTAAGTCTTGAACAAGTAATGTGTGATTTATATGGAGCTCTGTGTGTTCCTAAACTGCAGTCTGATGGTCGTGGCTGTTTGTACAATGAATGTAGTTGAATAACAAAAGTGGGACATTGGACCTCGGACAAAACCGACGGGAGATGTCATTTCTGCACAGTCGACACAGAGGGGAAACTAGAACAATAATTGTTTTAAGACACTGTTGCTTTCACTTGTTTTTTTAACTTCTATGTTTTCTATTTTTATTAGAAGTTACACATTGACTGTCAACACTGGACACACAATGACCGTATAAAAACTGACTGAACAATGTGTGTAATAAATGCTCATTTACAAACCCACACATTTATTTTTGTTTTTCATTCAGACTTCCAGCTGTCTTTTCCTTGGTACAGCATCACACACCTCATCATAAAACAATTTCTATTTTCAACGCATGGTCATTATTGAGATGAAAACTGTCTCAAATGTGATGTTAAACTTAATACTTACGTATTTTATATCTGCTCGGAAAATGTCTGATTACTTACAACGGAGGCCAAGAGGATGCGTTTAAATGAACGCGATACACAAGTAGAAACCATATTACTGTAACTGTGAAGCGTTGAAACATCGCCCTCTTCTGGCCGCAGCAGGAATAACACACCGTGTCCCACAATGCTGCTGCCGCACCAGCCCGGAAGTAAGACGTTTATTGACAATATGGCCGCTGTGCTGGGTTTGGATTTGGCGAAAACTGGAATTTGACAGCACCCGCCGGGGGCTGAGAGAACAAAAAACCCATTTCCAACCTCAGGAGTGTACGGAACCGATGCATGTGAATGAAGGGACCCGCGGATCTACGGGATGGTGTCAGTGAGCTGAGGAAACGGTCACAGCGTGAAACCCGTCATGTCGTTTTTCAAGAGGAAAGGTGAGGAAGCTTCCCCCCCCTGTTTGAGTGCTGCAACGTCAACGGCTAGCTAGCGTTAGCCCAAGCCGGGTAACCTGAGAGAGAGTCCGCCCGGGGAGAGACGTCCTCCCCGCTGAGATGCCACTGGTGTGGGCGAGACTGCGGCCGCGAGCCCCATTGCCCGCGGACACCGTGGGGTTTTGTGTCGGGGGGGACGAGATTCCCTCAGCCGCCATGTTAGCCTAGCGGTGGCCTCTCCAGCCTCTCCAGCCCGGCCGAGATGGAGGCTCGCGCCGGCGTGCGGGTGCATCCACCGCGGCGAGCTGTCAGCGGCACGTCGACCCGGCGAGGCCGTTCTTAGTGGTATAGGCCGTTCTTAGTGGCAAATAGACCGTTGTTAGTGGTAAATAGTGCCATAATAGTGCCGTTATTCCCACCTGATTGTCTCCACTTGTCACCAGTGTCGAACTGTGCTGTGGAATGCTAACGTTAGCTAGCGTCGTCCGAGCATTTCCATACATACAGCCGGCGATCTAGAGAAAGAAAAAACATTCAATATACTGTCTTAAAATCAGAGTTGCTAGTTGTCGTATAGAAATCGGGCAGACTTCTTAAGGACAAGTTGGATGCAAATGGTGGCAGCGATTAAGATGATTTCCAACGTGAAGTTGAAGGATCTGATTTAATTGAGCCTGAATGGTTTGTTTTCAAACCCCGACATGGCCTCGCATGATTTCAGGGTAAAACCCCCTCATACTTTATATCAGCTGTGTCATCAGGTCATCTTTACTCAGCCGCTACAACTCAAGAGAGCTGCTGGTGGACACCTCATAATGGTCAAACTGTGCACCCAGCTAAACGCTTACGGATGGATGTAATGTCCAGTGTGTGATGACACTGTAACCGGTTTGTAGGCTGAGGTTCATGTGGAAGGCCGCGTGGTTACACGACGATCTCATGCGCATCCCTTATTGTGTCCACACCACTCCTATCAATTAGGGCAGATCATGAAGGATCCCCGTCAAGTTCACTGTCAACTCTGGATCACACTCACTCATCTGCATCAGCGAGATCCGGAGGTAGTCCTCGGAAGCAGCTGACACAGCAGGTCTCCAAAATGAGGCAATAGTAGAGAGACCGTGCACTTATATTGCTGTGGACCATGATGACGCCCTGTACTTACGGGAAGTGAGCCTGGTGTTTGCTGTAGAGCATGGTTGAATTCTCCATGCAGCCGTGTGACAGTCCTGATGTCAAATAACAATGTATCCGGCGGGAGAGTAGACAAATCAAATTTGCCACTAGCAACGGTAATAATACGCTAATGTATCTGTCGGTTTACAATCGCTGCACATCAATCAACGGATGTACATTTTTCTAGTAGTATTGTACCACAGCATTTGACACTAAAGCCACTAGCCGCTGTACTCCTGAGAAAGCCCGCGTAAAAAAGCTGCTCTCCCGAAGAAGACAGCACCTATGCTGCTTAGCAACCGGGACAGCACGTCGGGATGGGGTGAAATGGCATTACATGGTGATTTCGGGACATGGTGCAGGTTTGAGTGTACTCCTGTATTTGCTCTACAGTAGGACCTCAAGAGTCTTGGATCTTCTACCTGCCCTGTGGCCTGTGGCGAAAGTACACTAACTGACCCACGTCAACTGAGGGACAGTAAACTTTGCGTTTGTCCAACTCAACCCTTTCTGCCGCTTTCTGCTCAGCATATTCTTTAGCTCTAGCAATGGCTGCCTTGAGATGCTCCTGATGTGCCATTAGCCAATCACATTTATTGTCCTGCGCTTGCTCCTGCCCTATCAGGGCATCCACTGAGAGGTGCTGATGGACCCCCAAAAAGTAGGTTGCACGCTGTAGTAGTGGGTAGTAGGTAGTGTTCAGGCCAACGTCGCTTCGTCTCTTGGGGAAGAGTACCCAAGACATCATGTTGGGTCCTATTGTATCTCTCACATTGTCCATCTCCACGGGGATGATGAGGCATTGTGCAAGTTTTCTTTACAACATACAGTTTACAGAGCTCTGCAACTACTTCACTCTCAACGTTTTGACCCTGGTCTGAATGTAGTCTGTCAGGCACAATGTACTTGATAAACCACTCCTGGAGGAGAATCCTGGCAGTTAGCTTTCCGATCACGGGTAGTGAAGGCTTGGGTTAACCTGGTGAACACGTCTGTCACAAACCAAAACACTCTCTCTGACATCTAAAGCAGGCCCTAAGACCGGGAAAGTTACAGCAACCACTTCCAGAGGCAAACGTTTGGGTAACAGGAGCTGGCTGCTTTTACGACACCCTTTGGGTTGTACCAGTGCTCTTGGTCGCCTTTTTTGGAGTGTGTAATCGGCCAGAAAAAATTTCAACGACTGCTGCAGGTAATGATGAGTGAACCAGCTATCAGCAGATGCTGGATTGATTCCTTTCGCTTAGACTTGGGCAACAGAATCACCCGGTATGTGTTCTGTATCTCTGCCCACTATCCGAGCTGCAGATATTTTCTCTGCTACGTACAAATCTGTACACTTGAGATACTTCCCTCCAGTCTGGATCAAGTCACTATTGTGACGCACAACACTCACCCACCGCACGCTCAAGCAACCGCTCATGGTCAAGAGAAAGCCTGGCTCATCGCATCCGAGGTGGCCAGTTTTCCTAAATAGATGCATTCAGTGTGTTTACATGATGGTATAATTCGAATCTTTGCTTAGTCAGACTATGCTATCTTTCGGGGCAAGTGCTATTATCCCAATATACATGGCAGTGAATAAATCGAATCATTGGCCGTAAGCATGTCATATCCGATACGATAGGTGGCGCTGTTTTCATTACAACTAGTTGTGATACAGCCATTTCCGCTTGACCGCTTCACCACTACCAACAACAACAACATCAACATTACGAGAAAGATGGCGAACGGAGAGCAAGGTGAAGCTACATCCGTCTACTATTTTTGCATGATGTTAATAGGAGTACAGCGAATGCGAATGGCGCTATTGGCTGATTTGATAACGGAGAGAAGACGCCGTCGGGATCTCAAGCATGCGCAAAGACGCAAAGTCCAGTTCCTTATCCAAATCACCGTTACATGCCGCAATAGTCAAACTATCAACTGGATCGGATGGAGTTATCCAGGGGTGTTAGTCGGATCGTAGTCGGACCGCACAAAGGTGTTTACATGAAACGGATAATTCGATTTCAGTCCGACTAAGCCAGTTATTCGAATCCATGTAACCACGCTGAGTGATGTTACTGGATTGACTTTTGGTTTTTTGCCGTGTCCACTTCCTCGCAATATTTCCCTCCATTTTACATCTGAAGCAACTAGGCTGTAAACTGTAGGGCCGTAGTCTGGGCTTCCCAACCTGGTCTCGTTTGTATTCCTCCCCGAGAGCGAGGCCTTCTTTCCATGCGATGGTCAGCTCTGCTCTGAGAAGCCCTTAATAATGTCCTCTAGAGTGGTATTCTTCCCTGGTAAATTACCAGAGCGCTGCACTCCCTTCCACTGTCCCACACTACCGGCCAGCTCTTAACAACCATGGTGTCACAGGGCTTGTCTTCTAGGAGCCAGGCAATGGCCTCTTCATGTACCTTGTTGGAGCTCCACATCTCTCTAGCTGTGACAGCCTCTCAGTGCCCACCGACTGAGACTCTTAGGCCTCCCAGTCCATTTGTCATATTGGTGCTCGAAATGGATATGTGTCCTGGACGCCCTCTGTTGCTGCCGCAGAAAGGTTACGAATGGTGAGTCACTCTGATGGGAGGTTGCCACCACGTCAGCCGCTGTGCACTTATTCCACTTACATATTTCATTTTGGATTTGGCAGTCGGCCACAGAGCTTTTGGAGTGGCGCGCTAAATAGTTTTGAATTACACCACAGATGTGATTGTAATCATCATTTTTTTGACAGTTAGACACACTTAAGCTGTAAGCTGTCAGACTGTCCGCTCCACCCACCGCAGCTGAGGTGACGAAGGACTCTTGACACTGACTTACAGCAGGACTTTCAAGCATGAGGACACAGCTTCCGTATTTCGCTCCTCGTCTTTCTGCAGCAGCAGGGAAGCAGGAAGTAATTTGTTTGCCTCTCTGGTATCTCAGTTTTCCTCACTGCTAGTGAGGTCCAGTGTTTACTTTACCGTTGCACGTATTTGGTGTCACCTTGTCCCCATGTGCCTCGCCCTGTATTGTGAATCACAATGCAGTATCAATCTCCAGTTGCATCTCACCTCTCGTCTTTCTCCCCACAGCCAAAAGCAAAGAACCAGAGAGAGTGACGGACATTAAAGCCAACAGAGGTGAGTTCATCGGCACAGAGACGTATCCGAGTAGTTTTTGTGTTTGTGTGGGTCTTTGTTTGAGTTGGTTTATGATGTTTGATCATTGCTCTCCATGCTATCACAAGGACTAACATTTTAAACCGCTGGCTACAAGTGAAACACATGCAGCTCACATTGAAACAAACACAGAGCCGTCTTGTCTTTTCAAAAATGTCCCCTGTCCACCCCGAGGCTGCTGTGAGCTGACAGTCAGCTGTTTGAAAGATCTCCACTAAAACCCTTCTTCCTCTGTTTTTGTTTTTCTTGGTTGTTGTTGGCTAACGCCTCTTTTGCTGTCCTCCGCCGGCAGCACCACCCAGCCCTCACTCTCCATCAGGAGGACTGAGGAACCACCATGCTGTCCTGGATGCTGCCGGGCCCAGCCATGTGGCCATCAACGCCATCTCCGCCAACATGGACTCCTTTGCCCGCGGTCGCACCGCCATCCTCAAGAAACAGCCGAGCCACATGGAGGCTGCGCACTTCGGAGATCTAGGTAGGGCAGCAGCATCATCGACCGCCTGGCGGTCCGACCTCAACAATAAACGTCTGAGGTACATTCTGACAAGTAACTAAAGAGTTGGTGTTTCTAAGCGGTACATCTGCAGTCTGGGGTTTCTCAACTTGAAACCCCAGACTGATTTGAATTTAAAATAAGTTCATTACAAACATTCTTGTCTGATTTTATCCAAACAATATACAGAAAGGGGTTGGGGGGGCAGCAAAAGTAGTTGAGTTGTTAACTAGTTGTTAACTATTGATTATTGTGAAAATTCTTTTATATTTATTCAGAATTATGTCTGTTTCTATTTCAAAGTCCACGGTGATGTTTTAATTTCAAAAGGTTTTATTCCACCACTAGTTTTACACCCAAAGCTTATTTGTCATGGTACCGCGCTGCAGAGTGAGACTCTCTTCACTAACGCAGCTTCACGCTGTCTAATGCAGGCAGAGAACACCCCATCATTAGTCCTGTGTGACGCACTCGCTCAGCCTCATGCATCACGTTCACAATGCGTTCACAGACATTCCGCCGCAGTCTGTCTTCTCAAGAGGTCACGCGGGAGCTCAGCACGGCTTCTCGTCAATTCGTTTCTCGTATGTTCCAAAATGGGGAGGTTAAATACCAAACGGCATGATCAAGGACAGCAGCCACGAGAACTGCACCAGCAAGTTGCCCGGGGATTATCTGGGGTGTGTCAGACGGAGGTGGACTAACCTGCACCGCCGCCTGCACAGCACAACCAGTGTTTCCCAACTTTTGGTTTTAACAAGGGTTGAGGAAGGAAGGAAGGACGGACGGAAGGATGCTAGGTGGGGAGGAGGACTCAACGAGTCAGTTCTCAAAGCTGTAATGGCTGTGAGAATATGTTGAACATGATCTTAGGATTTATCTTCTCTCTTTTGTTCGGGGCTGAAAGCTTATAGAGCCGATTATGTAACAGACGTTGACTGACGCTCAAAAGATATTTAGATGAGGCTCTTTTTTTATTTTTTATGATCCAGTGAAGATGCAGATTGCTGCACTGGTTGTTGATTTTCTTGTCAGTATTGAGGTGGGCTTGTCTGGGCGGTCTTAGTGAATCTGGAGAGGCTGCTTGATACGCGCCTTACACAGGGTGACGCCTCTTAAAGCGTTATTTTGTTTTCAAAGCACAAACAAAACACCCAAGAAGCCTCAGCCCAGACTTCAGGTTCAGCTACAGCTGATGGGCTCTGATTCAGGATCCAGCGAGCGTCTGGGTTTGTATCCAATGAAAACGCTCTCTTGTTTATTTGGATTGTGTTTTTGCTTGTAGTCCGGGATGGCGTTACCCAGAAAAACACTCCATTTCAGACATCGCCAAGTCAAATAAACGGCATTCCTACAGGAGTACGAATCATTTGACTTTACAGTTGACTCAAAATTGCTCAGTCCAGGAAAGAGAGAGGAAGAGCGATGTTGTTGGTTGATTTAGATTTAGCTTCAGTCACCAAAGAGCTGTACACAAACATTTTATTTTTATTTTTTATAATCACTTCACGTTGCCAGTCCCATCAATACACGGCACCATGAATCTTTCTCCTCGTATGATACTTTTCGCCTGTACCTTTTAAGAAATATGCTCCTCAGGTGGGTATCGGAGGGCTGCAGTGTATCATTTACCATTAAAACTTGAGACTGTTTGCAAAATCAAATTTGCGACAAATCACATTCTTTACGTACGTGCAGGTTTGTACTGTATCACAGGTTAGTTTAAAATGCAAATGCTGAATTTAAAATGATGTCTAAAATGTGCAAATAAATTGTGTTTATTTTCTTAAGTTGTGTCTTTTGAAGCCTGTAAAAAGTGATCTCTGCTCAGTTTATTGATATGAATGTTGTGTGTACCTTTGTGCCTCCAGGTCACTCCAGTGTAAACTATCACCCCCAGGATGACCGCTCTCGGCTGTCCAAGACGATGGAGCACGTCCTCCGGGACAACGTGGCGATACCCCACTACCTGCATTTCATGGAAGTCCGGGGCGCCGTCCACCTGGTCCGGTTCTGGCTCGAGGCTGAGAGCTTCCGCTCCGTCAGCTGGTCGCGGGTCCGAGCCCACAGCCTGAACTCTGTCAAACAAAGCTCTTTGGCCGAGCCCGTCCCCGCCTCCCCCGGCGGCTCCGAGCCGGCCCAACACACAGCCAACGCTCTCGCCCGGGACGTCGGCGGCGAGGGGCCGGCGGTGCCCTCGGAGCGGCTGGACTCCTCCGGTGCCGAGGCAGACTCGAGACCTGGCACTCCTCGAGCAGACACCCCCAGCAGGCAGGCAAACTCCAGGACGGGGACTCCCTACAAGGTGCAGTCAATCAGCACCCTGCGAGACCTCTCTGACCAACTCATGAAAAGTGAGTCACCTTCACACGGACGTCTCGCTTTATACTTGTGCTGATTCAAGGTTGTGACTTTCTTAAATAACAGTGCGCTGCACAGGGAACACATAATGTATATGATGTGCATCCAATCTGTGCCTCTTCTTTTACAACCTTTTTTAAAAAGTTGTCAGAGTGGAGAATTTCTACCCAATTTGCATTACAATAGTGCAGCGGTTCCCAAACTCAAGAATGCCGCGGCCCACTTTGAAATCTGAAAATCTTTTGCGGCCCACCCAAACCTTTAATCACAACTCTGATCAAAACATAAACTAGGGATGATTAAATGACCTTAAGAATTTAACCGATTCAAAATGTATTAACCGACAATGTATCTTTTGTATACCATTTTCTCCGGAGCTCATGTGCCGTATTTTCCGCACAATAAGGCGCATAAGATACTGCAGTCAATCAGCGCAAATCACTGTCAAAATTTGAGAGCGCAAATCAGGTTGATGCGCGCACGTAAATCAAACATCCGCCAGCAAAAGTCCGTCTTTAGCGAGGTATTTGCTCGCTTGCGAAACGTGAACTTCGTTGCTCGCGAGGAGAATCTCTGCTCGCGCTCAAAGGAGTTTTCTACGCGCTCGCTGTTGTTCTTTCTGACAGTGAGGGGGCGGAGCCAGTCACCATGGTATCTACATCTGATTGGTTACAAACCCCGTCTTTGGAGTGGCTGGAGCGATGCAAGTCGAGATTATGAGATAAAACGTCCAAACACAAACGACACCTTTATGTAACCGTAGTGGACCGTAGATGACGACCAGCTACAACCATCATTACCGGCACATTAACACCAATGCGTCCAGCTCGCAGACCGGCTGGTGATTTGCCGCCATAGCAGTCAAACATTTGGCGTCGGGGCGGGTGGATGGGGGGTGTGGGGAGGTGGAGACGGTGCTTTCAGGGTCTCATCGATGCTGCGAGGTGCGTCCGCTCCCGCCGCCCCCCTCGCCATCCACGCCTTACATCTTTGGCTGCTCTCCAGCCACGCCGCCTACCAAGGGCTCCTTTTAGAATAACTTATTTCCCCGTTAAGATGGTTCAGCTACTGTAAAGAAAAGGGCGCCGTCTCTCGCTCTTTAATCCCATTAAGTGCTCGGCAAGAACGACAGCTTTGTTTCTCCGACGCGCCCTGAAACAAGCTCCATTGCTCGCGCGCTTGACCGCCGCTCAGCATCTCGCCGTCGTAGACCGAGCTTTGGCATGTTTGGCAGAGCGCCTTGAGCGCCGTGTGCAACCAGTATGGATCAACCGATTAACCAATCTGTTTCGTTTCACATAACTAATGTGCCGCATCATACCTATTTTATATTAATTTCAAACTTTTCAAAATTGAAAATTAAAAACTTTTTATTTATTTATTGTAAATGACCTCTCGCGGCCCACCTGCAGTACCTTCGCGGCCCACCAGGGGGCCGCAGGCCACACTTTGGGAATCGCTGCAATAGTGCATTGATTGCACTTCCTTTTGCTGATACCACTCAAAATATTTCTCACCATTGGCTTGACATCTTTTGCTCAAATAAAATCCAATGCGACCCCGAACGCATTCTACTTCATTTCTGTCATATCTTGACTTTTTGTTAGCTCTACTTTATCTTTTGCTGCTTTTAAAAGATTGTTTATTTTTAAACCATATCAACATGCCCAAACGAACAATACTGCCCGTTGTTCTCACTGGAGAAAGGAGGTTCATGTCTGGATTTGTATGTAAATTTTAGCTTAAGTTAAATGTATTTTCGTCAAAATTGCGAGCATATCTTGTATTGATGGATTGTCTTCACAAATCGCTCTCAACATGGGAACGGCTAGAAGCCAGGAGCTGTAAGTGGTGGAGAGTCGTGACGATTAACTGCCCGCACTGACTGACACACACACACACACACACACACACACATTGACCTACTTACACCACAAGCACACACACATGACGAGCAGACTTTATTCTCATACAAACAATTACTCCTTTTATTTCTTTGCATAGCAAATATTTGTTGACTTCAATATCAGCACTTTATGCCCTTTTATATGTAAAGATTTAGAAGTCGTAGTGATCTGAAGCCTCCTTCACATCACTTCTATGTATGTTGTAGCATCACTTGATGCTCAGCTAATTGTCTCTTATTTTCAGGTATAGAGAAAGATGCAGTTACAATCTTCACCAAGTACATCTCTCCGGACGCAGTGAGGCCCATCCCCATCACAGAACAGATCAGAAACGACATAGTTGGTAAGACACAGACAACGGCAATAAGAATTTGACTGGTTTGAGTCACAAAAAGTCATCCCTCACATCATTCCTCCTGTTCCCTGTGTAGCTAAGATATGTGGCGAGGACGGCATGGTGGACCCAAACTGCTTTGTCATTGCACAGTCGGTAGTCTTCGCCATCTTGGAGCAACAGTGAGTATTCATTTTCTACAGGACTTGATGTGGAAACCCGGCAAAACCCCCCTGAATGAGAGTATCAAGAGGAAAAGTTCAACTGCTGCCTGCTATAGTCATTTCGCCTCCTGGACATCCGCAGTGGCGCCTGAATTCAACTCCCACTTTCTCTTTCATTTCCAGGCACTTTAGTGAATTCCTGCGGAGCCATCATTTCTGTAAATACCAGATCGAAGTGTTGACCAGCGGCTCAGTATTCCTGGCTGACATCTTGTCCTGCGAGTCGGCTCTCTTCTACTTCTCCGAGGTGAGCGGGCCCAGCTGGTATTCGGTGTCAGCATGTACTGCGGACGCACAGTTAAGAGGTAAGCTGACTTTCTGACCGTGCTTTTTCCCCTCATCCCTGCAGTACATGGAAAAGGAGGAGGCAATGAATGTACTGCAGTTCTGGCTGGCGGCGGACAACTTCCAGAACCAGTTGGCAGCTAAAAAGGGCCAGTATGACGGCCAGGAGGCTCAGAACGATGCCATGATCCTCTACGACAAGTACGCCTTCTCTCCGCCTCTGGGCTCCAAAACGCTTAGTCAGCTGTAGCAAAGCTCTTGGGTTTGACTTGGTACTTGCTTAATTAAGTAGGTTTAGTCTTATCTAGGGAATTCCTTAAAGAAAAAAAAACTACAGATGGCTGTAAAAAAAGGCCTGAGATTCATCTTGATACATCAACCAAGTTAAAAAACAAAAAACGACGTCAGTTTTTAAGTAGTTTGTGTTTCACAAAGTCATGTTTCGGTGAAGGGCTTCAGCCTGCACCAACAGGCGCTGACCAATCAGATAACAGACAATAATCAAGCCATCGTCCCTCCTCACCCTGATTTACAGTGACGGTTTATATGTGACGAGTATTAAAAAGTCCGCCGGGTTTTGCTTTTTCCAGCCTCTGTTTTACAACCAGTGGAGGGTTAACGCACAGTGATGATTGGAGCTGCATTTTAATTCAACAAAGATTATTTTATTCCCACCAGGTGCTTTTCCACTCACACACTCGTCTTTTATTAGGAAAATAATCTAATAATCTCCACACTCTTAATTAGCTCCCATGATTGTAAATGCGGCATTTGAGTTCATGTCACTTTATAATGCGCATCACAAATGTACGAAGATTTGTGCCTCAAAAATACTGGAATCATGGCGGCATCGATCATGATCCCCACACTTCAGTATATGCTTACTTTCAATTAGGGCAGTCAACAGACTTAAATAATTATTCTCACATTTTGAAATTCATTAATCTAGATTAATTAATCTAGTTTGTTATTCTTCTGAAGCGTAATTTTTTTATTAACTAGTAATCACTTCAGATTGCATGTATTTTAGACAAAAATTGTAATTGTAATAAACACAAAACTAGGTCAGGAGTCAATGCAAGTAAACAAGTGGCGTTGACTGCTTTAAAATATTTTATCCCATTAATCTCCTAGATTAACGTGTACACAGCCTGACATTGATTTTTTTTAATACAATTCCTAGTGTTTCTACAGTTTATATTCTTGTGGTTATTGTGTTAATCACACCTGGCTGAATTAAACTCAGAATTTGGTGTCAGCGTGGCCATTTAAGGGTTAACTCTGGGTCTCCAAAGATTGATTGGGTATTGATTATAATCTGGATCTCCTCTCCAGGTATTTCTCACTCCAGGCCACCAACCCACTGGGCTTTGGCGACTCTGTGCGGATGGAGATCGAGTCGAATATCTGCCGAGAGGGGGGGCCGCTCCCCGACTGTTTCACCACACCACTGAGGCAGGCCTGGACCACCATGGAGAAGGTCCAGCTCTCTCATGTCCTTTTACTCTGCAAGAAATCATTAAACCATTTAATTAATGAATTCACATCACCGTTTTTAAAGGGCTTAATAAGGTATTTTTCTAAAAAAAACAACCCAACATCCTCTGCTCAAGTGGTTTTCTTGAAGTTAATAGCATCCTCCCAAAGGTTTTGTCTTGTAACTCACTGATGAATTGCCCCATTATGCTGACAAATGCACTTTATGCTAATGAGATCAGGGGTGAAGGCTGTTGTGGGCACACGAAGGTCAGGCACGGACCTTTTGTAGCGTGTGCCCACACATGCATGCCGGAGCTCATTATTGTCTTAACGGTGAATGTTGCCTTTGTGCAGGTCTACATGCTGGGCTTCCTGTCTAGCAACCTTTACTACAAATACCTGAGTGACCTCATCAACTCGGTGCGGGCGGACGAGTTTGTGAATGTCAGCGCTGCAGGCCAGGGCGGTCCCGCAGACAACGAACGCTCGAGTTCAAGTGCCGGCGAGGCCTCGCAGTGTCAGGTGAACCCCCCCCCCTCTATCTTTAACCTACGTCTTTAGCCCCTGTGGGGGTGCTCCTCTTGTCTGCTGACATTTAGACCGCGCTCCGCCTCGTTACATGAGATATTTTTGTTAATGCCAAAAGGTTGCGGCCATACCTGCCCCCCCCCTCTCCCACACATATAATCCCTGTAATGCTGCTAAACATCCAATTCATGGTTTCCTTGCTCTACAGGCCAAAAGGGCTGCGATCAAGATCCTAAAGAACTTTGACGAGGCGATCACGGTGGACGTGGCCAGCCTGGACCCTGAGTCCTTGTACCAGCGGCCCTACGCTGGGTGAGTTCCGTGTGGCGAATGTAGCCGAAGCTACTTTGAAGGCTTGGAATTTTAGGCGGCTAAATCCATTTTTTCAAATCACTTTCCTAGTTGTCTTTCTCGCTCTTTGGATTGTCTCGCAATATATTCGCAATATCCTGCACGAAATAATTCAAGAGCATGATCTAGGAAAAAAAAGAGAACGCTGTTGTGTGTCGGATCTGTCTTCATCTCTCTGTGTCCGCTCAGAAGGATGACGTTTGGGAAGGTGAACGAGATGGGCCAGTTCATCAGGGAGGCAGAGCCAGAGCCGGACGTGAAGAAATCTAAAGGCACGATGACCTCTCACACACACCCTCCCCGCCGCCCACCATCTCCTACCTGTTCGGCTCTCTCTGTCTCGTCATTGTGTCTTTGCCCTCCTTTCCTTCACTCGGTCAGATTTTATCCCATTGCTCCTCCTGCGAAACATCGACTCTCTTGCCGTTAATATAAACCTCATTTGTGGCTGCTCCCGTTCCCCCGACCGCCTTCTGAATTATTTAAGAACCACCCAGCCTCCACTGCCCTTAAGTTTGAAGAGCACATCAAATCTTAATTAATTATTTCCAACGGTGCTTTTTCTCGCTCTAGAATAGATTGCCAGACATTACAGAATAACTAGGTCAAAATACACTTCAATACATCAAGAGTTTGTTGAGTTTCTTTGCTCAGATTAAGATCATGTGTCACTCATTCTTCCCTCTCCTCTCATTTAGGCTCAATATTTTCTCAAGCCATGAAGAAATGGGTCCAAGGAAACTCTGACGAGGTGATGCCACGCGATATTCACAAATGATCCCGGGGTCCGAGGCTCATAGTGCGGCCCCTCCCGGTGGCATGTTTTTTAAATTTAACCCCTGTGGTTAACCGCGTTGTCCTTATGTGCCCTGTCTCTCGGCGTCAAGGCCCAGGAGGAGATGGCGTGGCAGATAGCCAAGATGATCGTCAACGACGTCGTCCACCAGTCAAACCACGACAGCCCCGGCAAGGCCACCAAGGTACGAAGCCCCCCTCGGTAGTCTCCCTCCCTCGCTGTGTGTGTGTGATCTGCTCTAAGTGGTGTCTTCTGTTCCGTCTGTAGTTATGACCCCACTGAGGACACAGAGGGCCGTCGCTCCTTTCCGACGCTGGTCAGGCACATGGCAAACTGCACGACGGGTTCGCCACACATTAACTTGCATTACTGGAGAACGAAACAAGGCATTCTATCATGCCCCCTCCCTCCCCCCATCATACCTCCTATTTGTCTCTAAGTGTACGTTGAGTTTGGGAATGAGTGGGATTATTGGCGGGGGATGGAGGTGGGAGTACACCGTTGTTCCAATCTTCCAACTCCATAACACTCCAAAGGTACGTGCGTAGTTGACCAAAGGTAAAACCAATCAGACGAGAAGAACACATGGCGCACACACAAAGAAGCAGCCTGTCGTCATGGAGAGCCGCTACAGAGGACCTGACATTACCCCCCCCCCCCCCCCTCCATCATGACACAACTCCTTTTATCGCCGTTCCTGGTTTTAGATGAAATTCTCTCTTTTGGGTCAGCCAGGTAAGGCTGAAGCAGATGGTAATCAGCGCTGCACAGTTTTGGGCGCCGCCCTCGTCCCCCCAGGAGCTAGGTTGACTGCTGTTGGCTGGCGTGAGCTGCGCCGCCACTTGGCCGTTGGTTTTCTGTACTGTGGAAGATTTTGGAAAGAGGACAATGACATGAAAGAAGAGATGACTCAGTCCCTCAGACTGGCTGGCCTCCCATCTGAACCTCCCGGGACCTTTTTAAAAGAGCGTAGAAGAATAAATACTCCCTTAATGAACTGAAGTGCTCCAGATGTGTCGGAAAACTCAACTCCATGTCCTTAATGTAGATTTTTCTGGTTTATACCATATATTAAAGTTTGTCTTTTTTTATAGTCATGGCTGTTTTGTTTTTTTAATGCATCTGTAAAACAAACAGCATTGATGATCGGACTGTTCAACTGGAAACTGCTCAGTAAATACATTTTACTTTTTTTGTTCTTTTTTTAAAATAAAAAATGATTTCTTAAGAGCATTACCAATATGTGGAAAAGAACCAGAAAAGACTCTTGGTACTATGTACCACTAATGTTTTCTGACATGTATGTATGTGTACTTAATCTATAATATATTTAAATTGTGTTTGATTTAAATACATATATTATGAAATGTTTGTCAGTCCCCTTTTTGTTTTTCTATTTCAATATTTGTATATTCTTGTGGTTGAATCCTACTATTTTGGTTAAATTGATACAGTCCTTTGTGTACAAGCAAATTGTTTTGTTTTTTAAAATAATTTTCATAACAGCATAAATGTGGGAGAAGGGACTAGTCAAAGGGAGTAGTAGTAGTATTACGGCTGACCAGCAGGGGGCGATGTAAGCTGCATCGCAACATTGGAGGTAAAACAAAGAAAACAACATCGATAGCAGAAAAGTACTTCTAACATAATTTAATATGGCTGCTTTCTCCGAGGCCGCTCCAGAAATATCCACAAATTGTAAAGTACAGTTTATCCCAAAGAGCACAGAAGTCACCTGCGGTCCAGCACAACAGCGTTTAAAACGCTGTCATTGTTCCTTTTTGTTTTACTGTCAGACATACTAAACATGCAGAAGAATTAGCTCTGCTAGTACCGAAATACTATTAAAAAAGAATTATTTTCAAAACAATTGTCTGTATTTCAGCGCTTTAACTGTCCTTCTAAAGGTAATTGGTGGGAGTCATATTTCACACATAAATAAGGTCAGTAGCGATATGCTATTTCACTGGTTGAGGTCCCACGAGCTTCAGACTGAATGCTACTTGCACGGAGGGCCACGCCCACCTCAATACAAACTGGCCCTGATTGGCTGAGGTGCTGTTACAGAAGGTGACTGACCACTTTTACTGTACGTGTCGATGCTGAGAAGTAGTTGTTTTTCGGAGTATAACAAATAATTCAAATTAAAAAACGGTGAAAGAAAAAGTTATTTTTCTGTGTTTATTAAAATGATGTCGCTCGTGGTCTTAATGCACGCGGTATCAATGCGCTTAATGAGTGCAAGGTGCATTTTGACAAGCAGTTGCGACTGGCCGGCTAATCTGTCAGGTTACAAAGGACATGTGCAAAATACCGGAAAGTGAACGTTTGCCTTCAGAATAAAAGTGAGTTTTGTTCTTCACGGGACTCCTGCCACAGATCCTACATAAAACACGTCCTGCCAATAAACATCACATCCACACAACTGAACATTATCTACATTCATGCTGGGTTCCCCAATACACAGATAATTCACTTCGGATCCGGTTGAAATGTTGCTATAGACACAGTAAAATAGGAAGCATAAAACTGAATCGCCATGAATAAACTTATCAGATTTATACCAACTTTATAATCTCAAGTGAGGTAATTAGTTAGGTCCAAGTGCTCCATAACACGGAGGACATCTCAAAGTCCCCAGTAAAAACAATAAGATGACGCACACAATATGACCAAAACATTTGAAATAACTGAGGAGAAGCAGACTGGTCGTCACGATGATTACAGTTATCTGTAATCACATTTATTTAAATTGTTCAAATGTAAACATTGTTTTGCTGTGACGTCTCCACGATAGAGCGCTGGCTTTAACCTCGCTGCGCATCTTCGCTCGGAGTATTACTTTGAAAGTCCCACCCTGAAGCTGCCCCTCTTTAAGCTGCCCCAGCTTGATGCTTTGCAGGCGCACTCTTCAGAGACGCGGAGTGCGCGGTTGTCCGTCCTGAAGCGCGGCAGGACAAGTCGCACTGAGGAGACCCGCGGCTCCGGGACATGGTCCTTCCTGTAGGTCCGCATTGAACTGCTCCTCCACCTGCATTGGTGTAACAACTGCGCATCCAGTTTTGGGGTGTGACAAACATCTCTCGGGCGCGCGTGTGTGCGTCGTTTTTTTTTTTTTAATTCAGGCTTATCCAGCAGTGAAGACGCTGATGACTTGACTTGTTTTCACCCACTGCCTCGCCTCCACTCCGGCTGATGCGCTCTGGACCTTTCCCCTCGTGGTTGATCCGTCCAGACAGGTTGATCCGTTCCAGGCGCGCCGCTGCGGGTGTCCAGTGGTTTCTCTAGTGCCGGGCGGGCGGGCTGAAGTTGAAGTCCTGCTCTAGAAGGCGTCAGCTCCAAATGCATTCTCTCCTGTGCCGGGAGAAGAAAGAAGAAGAAGCCGGGTTCGGGTTCGATCTGGGTCTGTCTCCGGGCTTCCTGCCCCAAGCTGCCACCATGTTCAGCTGCGTGGGATGCTTCTGGGTGCTCCTCTCCTCCGCTCTGGTCGCCTTGTGCAGTTTCAGCTTCATATCCCCTGCCTGGATTGTTAAGGACCAGCTGAGGAACAGCAACCAGCCCCACCAGCAGCACCACCACCACCACCACAAGGACTCCGTGAGCTTCGGCTTGCTGTGGCACTGCTCGGAGTCTCTGGATCACATGTACCGCTGCTACACCTTCGGCGGACTGGGCAAATTCGCTGAGATCCCCTCCAGCTCCTGGCAGGTAGGTGACCATGCGCGTCCATCACACGTGGACGGAAGAAGCGCGGGCGTCGGGTGGAGAGGGGCATGGCGGGAAAGAGTGTAACTGTTATTAACGCCCATAAGTTAGAAAAAACTATTAAAACTGACCCAAGAAGAAACCAAATAAATTAAATCACACCTGCATCACACTTTGCATCCACAACAACTCGTTTATCATTTAGTTCAACTTCAAACGGGTCAAATGACTTCAGAGGTTTGGATGTAAATAACCCAACATCCACTCCTCCATCAGCTGCTACCTCAGGTCCTCCACAGCGGTTTCGTGTGACTTTCCAGATGTTTTAGCCCAGAGATTTCACCTCACAGAAGGTTGCCTGACCCGGACACCCTGACTGAGCAAACAACAAGGGTGACAACTTAATGCCTGGGGTGCTCGCTGTCACACAAAGCTGTGTCGGGTGATTCCCAACACACGCACACACACACACAAACAAACAAACTAACAAAACTAAATATACTGTTAGACTATAGCAGCCACCTCTGGAGTTATGATTTATGCATAAAGGAGGATTAGCATTTGAAAGGGATATATTAATAAGTGACTGCTACTGTGATTGCAGGAGGGAGTAGGTGGGGTTGGGGGGTGGGGGAGGCTGTTAAGACTGCACGCAGCAGGTTGTGTGCGTCCGTCGCCGAGACACATGCGTCGCCGCGAGCGGAAGTGCGGCCCACTTAGTGTTTTCAGCCTCGCGCTCATCATTTGGCCAGTTAGTCAGCATCCAGGGAGTCAATAAGCAGCATCGGTGATGAGCTTTCTCTCCCACAGTTTGTTAGTGAGCGCAGGTGGAGGAGGGGCGGACGGAGCTGCTGATCCAACACGCGCCTTATTGCCGGCGGGTTGGACGCTGCCACGGCCGTTAACAAAGGTGAAGGTGGCCATTAGGCTTTCATCAGAGCCACTTTATTACTCCACCACTCCTCGAGGACAAGAGGGCGTTGTGCTGACGGCCTCCATTTCCCAAACATGTCAACAGCACATTTGAGACTCTGAACCTGCACATGTAGGCGACAAATGTTACAGACACACACACACATTAGTCCCACCTGTGTATGTGTTCTGAGAAGACAACTGTCCATCCAGAATGGAGGAGTGGACTCTTGGCCCACTCTGAAAACCCGAGCGGAGCCAGGATGGGGGGCAGGAGGAAGAGGAAGAGGAAGGGGAGAAGGCGGGCCTACTTGAGCTGTGCTTCCTTCTGGCCCGTCCGCTGCCGCTTCACGCTGTCAAAAAGCTTTAGCTTGGACCGCGTTGCCGTCCATTGCTTCTGGCGCTTAGATGCCCACTGCTGGCAGGGTACCTGCAGGTTCTTTCTATCCATTTAAACACACAAAACACGTACGGACAAACCCTGTGAGATCAAGAACAGGTCGGCAAAAAACCCCTTTTGATTGAGTTTGGGCGAAGGATGGTGGGACTTGTGTCACATTGTTGATAAGTAAGGTATCTGATCTCAACACGCACAGCGGAAATAAAGCGTGCAGAAAGCGAATTTAGGGGGAAAAGCAGTGTGACATTATTAACTGAAAATAAGAAAAATGTTTTCAGTTACATTTTAGAGTAAGGCATTCGTCTTCACACAGGGCCAGTGTTTCTACAGTAGCCCAGAGCGGACAAACCAAACACCACGTGCTGCACGCTCGACACGCCGGGTTTTCAGTCGGTTAAAATCTGCAACCTCACCGCTAGATCACGCCAAATCTTCCAGCCTGCTCCTTTTAAGAAGCATTGATGCCATATAAGTGTTCGAAAATGGTCTTTGCTATAACGTAATCCATGGTCCATAAAAGTCTTAATCATCGCAGCGCTCATTTGGCTGCGTGCCACGGCAACGCCAGCGTAAACGGTCTTTTCTGACCAAATTAGTTTTTTGTGCTTCTTCTGCCTGTTTCTGCTTGGTCGGCTAATTCTTTCCCATCGGCGTAGGCCGATGTGTAGCAGTGATGTGCGAGCGTGTTTGTGTACACGCAAGCCTGAGCGCACATGTGCCAAACAGAAGCGTGGAAGAGATGTGCAGCAAGCTGCAGCGTGGAGGAGGAGGAGGAAGAGGAGGAGGAGGAGGAGGAGGAGGACCCGCCAGAAAACGTTTTCACCTTAACTTGTTAACGGCTTATGTGCTTCCAGCTGCTTCACAGCGCTAAACACTGGAGTTGGATTAGCTCGGCCTCTGTGGTGACCAGCCAGCAGCGTAGTGTGTGTGTGTGTGTGTGTATGTGTGTGTGTGTGTGTGTGTGCGCGCGCACACAGGAGGTGGCGTCTGCCAGCCGTCTGGTGTCCCGTGTTTTGGGCTTCTCACACAGTGTGTTTGCCACTGAATGTCAAGGTGAACGAGTGCAGGCGGAGCTCCAGGAACACTGATTGGAAAGCGCCGCGAGTTCCTCCTCGTCCTTTGTCCGCCGCCGCCGCCTGACAACACGAGACAAAACAATCGTTGTGCTGCACGCGCGCCAGGAAGATGAATTACAGATGTTTTACCAAGCCTAATTGCATCTACCTATGAAAAACACTTACTGGAGTAGAAACCCTGCAAGACGCTCTCTAAATGTCATTTCACCAGCCAGTGAGCCACAGCTAGTTTTAAGTAGATAACTCGTTTAATGGAAATCACTTCTCTGGTCTTGCTGCTGCTGCTCGGCTGCGGTCTCGGCCCCCCTTCATTAATGAGAATAGTTTTAACAGGAAAAAGGATGCTCGTTCACACAGAAAGCTGTTTCATTTTGTAGTCAATAGTAAAAGGATTTTAAAGCACCATGCTGTAGGTTTTACACTTCTTTGGTTAGAGAAATATTCTACTACAACAACAGTAGAACAGTAAATATTAAGTAACTATATTCAGGGGAGGAAACGGATTACAGCTTCAATTTACCAATTAAATGATCGAAAAATCAATTAATGTCTGGTGGGTTCCAAAGACATCAAAAAAAGATTCTAACAGAAGACAAACAAAACATTTAGTAACTATTTCAACTTTACTCAACTTAGTTTGGTTAGGTATCTTTACGTGCACTTAATCTTAAGTCAATTGAACTAATAGATAAGACACTGATCAGAGCTCTCCTCGAGTCTACAGCTTCTGTCATAAATGATTGACATGTTGTTCGGGCGGGACAAATAGATTTTCTTTATTTTTTTGTATCATTGTTATTGGTATAACATTTGCAATCTTCGCTCCACCCACTTTCAACAGAGGTCCAATCAGCCAGAAGAAGTGAAAGCACCTGTTAAGTCAAAGAAAGCACTAATAAGGGGGGTTGAAACATATCTCACCTCACCAGCCTGATCATTTCTATGGTCCCTTAAAGGGATTTCCACCAATTTTACACATCAAAGTATGTTTATAGGTCCCGGGCAGAAGTACTGCTGATGTGGGGGGAAGAGTGGTGTGAATCCTTTTTGTGGCTCCAGAGGGAGCTGAATGAAATCTGATCAATTCAGCTTCAGTGTGCGCTGAAGACGACAAGTCAGGCATGTGTAGATCGAAAGGAGCGAGTCTACAAGACCTCAACATGAAGTAGTTTTGACCGAAGTCAACATCACTTATTTTCACATATTTTGAAGGACCTATATTGAATTTTTATATATACATTACATGATTCAACTCAGATTCTTTTGTCACGGAATATGCTCTCCTGACAGTCGAAGCGCTCACACGATTAGTCGATCAGATCACGTACAGAAGGAGTTGAGTTGTTGCGAGGTGGACAGCAGGTTCAGCCAGAGACTCGCCAGAGTGCCGACTAATAAAAGAATGATGGACGAGGGTCGGCCTCCGTCTCTGAACAACGTGAGACACAACTGAAGTTTCTGAGCTTTGGGCCGGCGGCCCCAGAGATCCTATGACACACACACACACACACACACACACACACACACACGCACATACTCCCGAGGAGGTTGATGCATTCCCCGCCGCTTGCTGACAAATACGGCGCATGGTTCAACAGACTAGCAAAGGGCTGTGAAACCCCCAGTGAACAGAAAGCCTTCCTTTCGTCCTCGATGCGGCTGGAGCTGCTCCTTCAGATTTACTGTAGCAGTAAATCGCCCCTCTCTCTCTGCCTCTCTCTCTCTCTCCCTCTCTCTCTGCCTCTCTCTGCCTCTCTCTCTCTCTCTCTCTGCCTCTCTCTCCTTTGATGCCATTGGTGGAACCTTCTGTGGTGCAAAGCCATTTGTGTGGAAGTGTGGTTGAATGTTATAAATTATGTTATGAGGTCCAATGTGCCCCCCCCACTGCCCGGGTGGCACGAGACACACAAGGCAGACTTGTCTGGCTGCCTTTTCTCTGTGACCTCATTAGTTTTTGTTGTGAGTTGATTTAATAAAAGTCCTTCCTTTTGAAGCGGCACATTATCGGCGTTGAAACAAGGAACCAGTAACCCCCCCCTGCACAGGCACAGAGCAGCCTCCGTCTCTCTCAGTGATCTAGTGAGCTTCCTTTCACCTGGTATCATAGAACAAATTCTACCTGTAAAGCCTCCAGTCCATTTACCCCCCCGGCTCCCCCCTGACCTTTGGCCCGGCCTCTTGTTGTCCGCGCATTTGCCCGTGAAGACGGGGCGGAAGGAGCAGAGCAACAGCCTCCCTCCCCTCCACCCTTCCCACTGGTGGCAAATCACATACAGTAACCACTGCCCCGGGGGGTAAATGTAATCGAAAGTACTCTGTTGTTGATTGTCTTCTCACCTTGACTTCTAGCAGGTACACACATTTAGGACGGTGTGGAGCAGGAGAAGCCGCGGTACAAGAGACGGATGTGTGGTCCCTCTGACAGCAAGTCCTGCATGAAACGTGTGGTGTGCAAACTTATTATCACACTGTGCATGTTTACTTCAGGGCCGCCATCTGCCAGCTTTACAGAACTAATGGCCGTTTATGTGTATACAGAGGAGCATTTTGCTCTGATAGATTTGGGGGTGAATATACGCCATTTGGATGGTTCCTGATTCTTTTTTTAATACCAC